TGCTGATGTGACCTTGAGTCATTCACAAGCTCTGGCACAGCTGTCCTTGAAAAAGAGCAGTTTGTGTCAGAGTTCTCTCAGCCCCACCCACCTCACAGGGTGTCTGTTGTGGGAAGGGAAAGGAGTTTGTAAGTCGCTCTAAGACTCCAAGTGAAGGGCGGGGTATAAATCCAATCTCTTCTTCTTCTTCTTTTAAACTATCTGCCCATCTCTTGGAGGCTAACTGATACGCAACAAAAATGGACCCTTCGTGTCCTTACTACAATTAAAAGACTCATATTACAGGACTGGAAAAACATATGCCCACCTCCTGTAAATCAATGGATTGAGGACTTTAGAACTTTACCAATATATGACGCATGGCATACAGACAATTATGGACTTATTTTTAGATATTTGGAAACCATTTATGGAAAGTCAAGTGTAGCTCTGCTACCACTGTTATATTTTTGTTTCTAGGTATACTTAAAGCTTTTTTAAAAAAAAATATTCTATTTAGTTACTGGAGTTTGTTTTTTTCTTCTTTTTTCTGGCCTTTTTGAAAGAAAGAAATAGACGTGGTGCCAGGCAGTTCCATATGTAAATATAGGCAAGCTGTCAGCTGTGCCACCGAATGAAAACCTCGGTGTCCAGAGGCGGGCCAGATGCCAATTGCCAGATGCTTGGGACACAACAGCAAAAACAAACACTGTGAAATACAGCGTTATGGCAATAGAGGCAAAAGTTAAGTGTGATTATATATACTCAAAGTGTTATTATAATGTCAACATAGAGAATTGTACGTTATAGAAAATACTTGACCTTGACTGTTTATTGGATGCTCTGCCAGTTTCCTTTACTGAAGAGGGGATCAGATCGCCGAAACATGGGAGTTAACTGGAAGCCCCGTCTCCTTTGTGCTTTGGACACTGTGCAGATTTTTATTAATTTTATTTATAAATTTTCCTTGGACTTTTCCCTTGTGAGGGTTTTCTGTATGCCACTTTGATACTGGATGGGAATAACTATATTTTGGTACTAAATGTCTTATATGGAATATTGGAAATAATAAATTATAGTAACGCTTTGAGTATATCACTTTTTACTTTTGCCTTTATTGCAATAGCATTGTATTTCACAGTAGTTGTTTTTGCTGTTGTGTTGTCTACACTGTGATTCCTCTGGTAGATGCTTGGGACAGACATTAGTGCTCCTCTGGGATCTAGCTGAGCCTGTTGATCTTCTCCAGTAAGGCAACTGAATTATGTTTGAAGGATAGGTGATAACTCTTTGTTTCTTTCTTGCAACCTCGTTCTACTCTGACAGATCTGCACAATGCCACGAACCTCCGGTCACGGTCCTTGTCTGGCACCGGAAGGTCTCTTGTGGGTTCGTGGCTGAAGCTGAACAGAACGGACGAAAACTTCCTACTCTATGCACACCTAACCTACGTCACATTACCATTGCATCGAATTTTAACAGGTGAGGCCCTCTTCTGCATTCCAGATCCAGAGATTCCTCCCTCACAATTTACAAGCACCTTCCTCTGCACACACTTCACTGGCAGGGTATGTCAAAGGCCTCCTCTGTACTGCACAGAAGGCAGGGAAAGCTTCTGGTGGAATATGCCTCTTTGTGTTCCATTGATTAACTCAGGTGAGCAGCCGTGTTGGTCTGAAGCAGGAGAACAGAGTCTGAGTCCAGTGGGGCACCTCTAAGGCCAACAGAGTTTTATTCTGGGTATGAGCTTTCATGTGCAGGCACACTTCCTTCAGATACAGTGCGTCTGAATCTGAGGAAGTGTGCTTGCACACAACAGCTTATACCTTGAATAAATCTCTGTTGGCCTTAAAGGTGCTCCTGGACTCAGACTTTGTTGTATTTATTTAACCCAGTTAGTTCAAAATTTCCTTCCAGATTTTATTTATTTATTATATTTCTATCCCGCTCTCCCTGCAGACGGGCCCAGGGTGGCTCACATTAGCGGCACAGTATGGCCGGTTAAATAAAACATTTAAAACAATTAAAACAATTGTACAATAACATTCTCCTGCCAACCTAGCAGTTCGAAAGCAAGAAATTGCAAGTAGATAAATAGGTACCACTTCGGTGGGAAGCTAACAGCGTTCCGTGCGCCTTGGTGTTTAGTCATGCCGGCCACATGACCACGGAAATGTCTTCGGACAGCGCTGGCTCTTCGGCTTTGAAACGGAGATGAGCACCGCAACCCTAGAGTCGGATTCGACTGGCTTTCGAGCAAGGGAACCTTTACCTTTACCTTTACAATAACATTTAAAATGCTCGCAACAATCAGTAAATTTAGGTGACATACTAAATCCTGACTTAGTGGTCTTCCGGTCTTCCACGGCATTTTAGTCTGATCTCCATACAGGGCCAGTCCACTGACCACAAATATTGATGTAATAATAGTTGGTGGTAGTGGTGGGCGGCTCCTAGTCGAAGGCCTGGTGGAAGAGCGCCGTCTTTCAGGCCCTGCGGAACTGTACAAAGTCCCGCAGGGCCCTGATCTCCTCTGGGAGCTCATTCCACCAGTGAGGAGCCGCCACTGAGAAGGCCCTAGCCCTGGTTGCATCGAGCCTGGCATCCTTGAGGCCTAGAGTAATTAACCGGTGTTGTGACCCCGACCGTAGTGCTCTCTGGGGTATATATGGGCAAAGGCGGTCCCTCAGGTAAGTTGAACCCTGGCCATTTTCAAGTGAAGGAAACAGAGCTGGCTAAGCTTTTAGTTGAATAATTGAAAGATTATTATTATTAGTTACTGAGTACTGTGAAGACACCCCAAACGCTTAACCGTTGAGAGGTGTTCTTCCAAGTGGCAGAGAGATTTATGCCTCTCCCCTAGGAAGAGGCAGTTCCCTTGGCTGCCCGGGAGCCACTGCTCTGTTCTTCCTTCCTCGGCTTCCAGAGTGAAGCTAGTTTATCCATTATAATTAAATCCCATATCTTGAGGAACCACTGGCGGATTGTAGGTGCTTTATTAGTTTTCCATACCTGGGCAATCAGAGTTTTTGGTCAGTGGCCTGGGAAAATGGGAGGGAACCAGACTTCGGCTCCGCCCATTTGGGGTGGCATAATAAAGAACTGTGTGGTGGTCTCGTCCAACAAGGCTCAGGGCTTTTCATGTCACCCTCATGGGTCAGGAAGAATGTTCCATCAGGATAACTGAAGTTCTTGCACCTTGACCTCTGCTTGAACATGGATGTTCGGTCTTCTCATGACTATTTCTTTTAAAGTAATTTTTAATTAACTTTTTCATATGAACAATAACAAAATAAAACAGCATTTTAAGTACAATTCTCTAGTATAAAAGGTATTGACTTAATAATTACAATAATAAGATTTGAACAGTTGTACATATTAAATGGAGCTGCGGTGGCTCAAGTGGTTAAGACGCTGAACTGCAGGCTGTGGAAGGTCAGTAGTTCAGCTGTTCAAGACCCGGGTGCCGCAAGACGGGGTGAGCTCCTGTCTCTAGTTCCAGCTCCTGCCAACCTAGCAGTTCGAAAGCAAGAAATTGCAAGTAGATAAATAGGTACCACTTCGGTGGGAAGGTAACAGCATTCCGTGCGCCTTGGTGTTTAGTCATGCCGGCCACATGACCACGGAAATGTCTTCGGATAGTGCTGGCTCTTTGGCTTTGAAACGGAGATGAGCACCACAACCCTAGAGTCGGATTCAACTGGCTTTCGAGCAAGGGAACCTTTACCTTTACCTTTACATATTAAATAATAAACATTAACAGCACCAACTCATTTAATAAGCAACTATATCCATATACTTCTTTGGAAGGTTACAACTTTTGTTTTCTGTACTATTAACATAATCTCTAAAAATATTTTTTTCTTTGGCATAACTTCTGCCATCAAAATGTGTGAAGCTAGTTTATCCATTATAATTAAATCCCATATCTTAAGGAACCACTGGCGGATTGTAGGTGCTTTATTAGTTTTCCATACCTGGGCAATCAGAGTTTTTGCAGCAATTAATAATAGGGCAGCCAATTCTGCTTTTTGCTTAGTTAACCATAAAGTTGGCCAGTAATTCAAAAGACCAGATTCAGGTGTTCTCATGACTATTTTTATTCCACTTTTCAGACAACCCCCCCCCCTTCCAAAGGAGTTTATAACCCATATGGAAGAGGGGAATCTGAGTTCCTAGGAGAGGGTGGAGCGGAGCAAGATGGGCGGGGTGGGCTCTCATTTTCCTCCCCTCTGTTCTGCTCCACCTGCAGTTAATCACTGCTCCCTGGTTGGCTTCCAACCACAGTGTGTTTCAACCTCTCCCATCAAGGAATGGGAGTTCCAGCTCCACAGAACTGCAAATGCAGGTGTAGACAGCTAAAAGGGAAAGTTGCTGGAGTCTGGTGGTATTCCTGTTTAGCTAAAAGGGAAAGTTTAAAATGATAGACACAAGAAATATAAGCCACAAAATAGTATACGTGTCCCCAGATCAACATGAACAAGTTGCTGGAGTCTGGTGGTATTCCTGTTTCAAGGTAAAAACTTCATCAGACATTCTCCTTGAAGACTGTGGCAATATTAAGATCACTTTGAAGTAACTTAATATAGTAAGATGCCTGTGACCCCGTTTGCTCTTGCTCGAATGTGGCAGAGGAACACCTTGAGCTGAGAAAAACCTGTCCATGGCTTTTTAGTTGTAGCAAGCGTGCTGATACAGACGCTGCTTCAGCTTTGTTTCAGTACCCAAAATTCAGCTGTTTGACTCTGGAATTCCTTTAACATTTCCATCCACTCAGAGACATTTGTGCTGTGCTCGGTCAGTTATTGATCACAATTCCAAAGTCGGATTCTAAGAAACCTTTTGAAACAGAACAAAGTTTGAGTCCAGTGGCTCCTTTAAGACCAACAAAGTTTAATTCTGGATACAAGCTTTTGTGTGCATGTATCTGAAGATGTGTACATAGACACCAAAGGTTATACCCAGAATAAAACTTTGTTGGTCTTAAAAGGTGCCCCTGGACTCAAACTTGGTTCTGTTGCTTCAGACCAACACGGCTGCTCACCTGGATCTATCTTTTGAAACAGAGTAATTCTATTTGTATTCAATCACTAAAAATGGGTGCGTTCAGGGGTCATTTAGTAGAAAAAGGAGGTGCAGGAGCTCATTAGCATAACTTATTTGCATGTGCCACACCCCGTGAAATCACCAGAAGTGTGTCAGAAGGCAACACCCACCGCTCAGGCTCCACTGGACTGTTTTGGATTGCTAGCTATTGAGGGGGGGGAACGTGCAGATCTGTCCTCACAGAGGAGGGAGAGCTTGTACCTGAATAAAACTTGGTCTTAAAGGTGCCACTGGACTGTTTTAGGTGGCGGGGGGGGGGTTCTGCAATGGGGGGGGGGGGGGGGGGGTTCTGCAGCTTATCTGGCTGCTTCTTGCTCTGACTGAGGGCTGCTGGGAGCAGGGGGTGGGGCTTGTTGCATGTGCCCGCCCCCTGGGCTCTTTACTGCCAGAGTTCCGCTCCTGTGCGCTTCCGCAGGAAATGACCCGTGGGTGCGTTGAATTTTTCCATACCCAGACTTCCAAACGTACTTTTACTTCTTGTCACTGTCCCTTCCCTCCTCTCCCCAGCCTTCATCAGGTCTTGCAAGTTGGGTTGCTAACCCGCAGATGGGGCCTGGAGCTCTCCTAGAATTTGAACCGATCTCTAGGCGAGAGAAATCAGTTCCCCTGGAGAAAGTGGCTGCTTTGGAGGGTGGATTCTGTGGCATTCTACCATCATGAAGTCCCACCTTTCAGCAAACCTCCGCTCCCCCCCTGCTCCACTCCCCAAATCTCCTGGTATTTCCCAACCCAGAGTTGGCAACCCCACTTACAGGCCATTTAGACACTGACTCTGGAACTGTAGTCCGTATCTGTAAATAAGTAAAGCTAGGCAGTGGCCCGGTTTAACCAGGTGGAAGTTTCTGAACACTTTCAAGGGCAGTGGCTCCAGAAATTTCACCTTTTGGGCTTTTCCAGGTAGCCAAGATGACCTGTTCCGGGTTTGGAGGCCAGCTTGCAAGTTACCTTAACCATAGAGTCAGAGAATCATAGAGTTGGAAGGTACTCCCAGGGTCATCTAGTCCAACCCCCTGCACAATGCAGGGAATTCACACACACACACACACACACACACATCCCACCGCCAGTGACCCCTGCTCCGTGCCCAGACGATGACGCCTGGAGAAAGGGCCAAACTGGCCTGGAGAAAATCGCTTCCTAGCCCCAAAGTGGTGATCTGCATTCCTCTGGGCATGTAAGAAAGGGCCATGAGAACTAAGCACCAATGTAACCCTCCCTGGCCTCCCTCTCAGGATCTGCCCAAGTTCACAGAGTCAGCATTATTTCGAGGTAAAAACCTACTTTTGGATATCTGTTTCATACTGCGTTGCATGGTTTCGAGGTAAAATCTACTTTTGGATATCTGTTTCATACTGCGTCTCTCCTTCAGAGATTTAGTTAATGGACATGCGTGCCACAGAACCCTCCTCAGTATTCCTGTCATCTCTCTCTCTCTCTCTCTCTAGATATTCTGGAAGTGCGGCAGAAACCGATTCTGATGACATAGCGGAGAGCTTGGCACTGACATGGGACCCTTGCTGCCAAGTGCCTACAACCAACTGTCAACAGCACCATCTAGTGTCAGGAGTTAAACATTACACTGGAAAAAGGGATGTCTTGGAATAACCAGCCAGCCAATCAAGAAGTGCCTCTTCCTTCTTTTCCCTTCCTCTGCTGTACATCTTTTGTGCATACTTAAAAAAAAAATTAAAAGACTTTATAGTTGCAACTGGCAGCAACCTTTCCCACCACTACAACAATTGGGGCTGTGTTTAAGAAAAAAAAAAGGCTTTATGGAGAATTAGTTGCAGTATTTACGTTGTAACTGGAAATAAAGCAACACGAACAGAATGTATTAATCCTTATGTACTCTGGGAGGAATTTCCATAGGATTTCTTTTTTACTGTTGTACCAATGAACTATATTTCATAGACTGTTGAGAACCTTCCTTCCTTATCATGTAACAAAGACAGCTTCAAGTGTGCACATACAGTTGAAATGGTGGCAGAATAAGGTAACCGTAAAGGAAAGTGGACTTGGGCAGAGTGCATTGTGGCTCCGCGTCAGGTTGGAACTCGACAGGTTATTTTCTCTCCATGGTATGTTTTTAAGGTTCACGGTGCAAATTGATTCTCTACCAAAGAACAGTGCCGAAGTCCAGCCAGAAGGGTCCAGAGGAGCAAAATGAACACCGAAGAACTGCCCTGGGCTAACTGCGTAGGACTGGCAGCACTTCCAGATGTCAATATGCCCATCAGTGGATGTAAGAAGTACGGAAACACGAAGGACCATGGTACCCAATCCCCTGGAGACCTCAGCCGGTTCCGGCGCCCTGGAGATCACTGGAAATCAAAGCTCCCAGGAGGCGGCTTCTGGAACGGTTTCTAAATCAGATTTTTCACCACCATTGTATAATTTGCCACTGCATTAAGACTTCCCCAGATCTTGATTTGGTGGGTCTGTGGTTTGTGATGGGGAATAGAAACCTAGTTAATGGAGGGGGAAGGGATGACATTTGGAAACTGTAGATCAGGCCTTCTAGAACTGACCAACAGAGAGTGCATAAAAAGTGCCATTTTGAGTGTGCCGCAGGCCTCGATGCTCTGGTTAGACGCATAGCGCCGCTTCACCAAGGCCAGGCTGTTGTTTTTAAATAGGTTCTGCCCTTTTTGAGTTTGCACTGGGGCAACCTGCCCGTGGTGTGTTTGGATGGTACCTCCCGTGTCCTCAACTCTCCTCCTCCCCTCCGGTCCAGATCACTGTTACGGTGCAGAGAGTTCTTTTGTTGTCACCACGAGGCGAAGATCAACACACTTGTGTGTATGTGCTGCGTTTTTTAAAAGCAAAACCTGAGCGGGGAGAGGGGAGGGCAAGAGCCGGGGACGGGTGAGGAGGAGTGAAGTCCTTGAAACTTCTCCGCCCTAAAAATGCAGCTTGCTGTAAACAGCAGCTCTTGAAATCTGCACTTAACATTTCAAAGTGCATTCACTTACCCTTCAACACTGTCTCATCTTTTTGATACTACATCAGAAGCCGGCTTTGAAAGCGTAGTTGAGCCAGGCTGGTTGGCCAGATCTAAAGGGCGAGAGAAGGCAGGGATGGGGGGGGGGGGGGGGGGTTTCCTTTTTTCAGGAAACTACAGAGAGAGTGTGAGCAACTGCAGCAAGGACAAAAGTGTCTAAAACTTCTCCTTTTTGGGGGGGTGAAGGGAGTCCATGTGAACATGAGCAAGCACCCAACAGCCACATTCGTTGCAGTTTGACTGGCATAAGAACTGCAGCTACCAGCATGACACAGCTGTAAAATTTTGTTTTCTTTCACGGTTTCTGAAAACCCAAAAGAGCAGTCCGTCAGATGCAGACTGCTTTCTTCATACCCTGCTTAGAGAGACCAATTATTCAGGGTTACAGATACACCAGTAACCTTATTTTTCAGATGCTATAGCTCCCCCCCCCCCTCCATTCCTGTGTTGACTCTTTGGTTGTCAGCATCCTGTATGGAATCTATTGCCGGATTAGTACCTCTGCAGGCGATGAGTCATGTGAAAGGCAGCACGCGAGATAGGGACTGCCTTTCTGGTATGCTAGTTTGGATGGGGGAGCATTATCCAAAAGAGGGCACGATCCGATGCGGTACAGCCTGTCGTGCATCTGCTTGATGGCGCAGCTTCGCTCGTAAGGGGTGTCGTTTTAGCAAGTTCTTACAAAAACTGCAGCCACTTTCCCATTGTGCTTGCTAACGAGTTGGCTTTTGAGGTACAAGTTGGGGACCTGCATTGCAGCAAAGTGTGCCCTAACCGATGCAAGGTTGCTGATGGATAAATACCTCCACGTGACTCATCCTGCACTTTTACAGTGACACGATGTTTCCACTTCCGCATGACGCAACAGTGTGGTGGGCTGCATTTTTCTACTCCACAGCAGTGACTACCCCTTGGGGGGTGTAAGGCAGAGCATCCCCTGCGAGGGATGTGGGTCAGTGAAGTCATACCCGCTGGGGAAGAGAGGAGAGCATGAAGGCCATTTTTGATGGCAGATCTCCGTCCCCTCCCCCGTTTATAGCCTTTCCAAAGCGGTGCTGTGGGTGGCGCGAAGCTGAGGTGGAGCCAGTTTTTTTCTGTACAGTCGGTGTCAGCTGGAACCAGGCGAATCGAACATTGGTACAGGCAACCGCGTGAGAAAGGGACCAGTGTGTACAGCGCCCTTTCAACCGGTTGGAGTGAAGTCTTCGTTCTTACTTCCTTGTTTGCGATTAAACAGGGGGAGAGAAGGACTTAGTGTATGTTTGTTGGCTTAATGGTAGCAGTGTGCATATAACTTTCTGGCAAGCTGGTCATCGCTGGTTCTTGTTGCCAGCCCTTTTAGTTTACCTTCTTCCGTGCATTAGGCTAAAATGGCCTTTGCATTATAGTATTACACAATTAGAGAAGAGATTGTAGGATTGCCAGAGGCAACAGCTTAAATTTACAGAGAATGGTGGCAGTTGACAGATTGGAGGCCTACGGGAGGGAGGGAGGGGGGTTTGTTCCTGGCTGTATAGTAGTAGTAGGAGATGGTAGGGAGGTGGGGGCAGGTCAAGGGAAGGGGGTCAGTTAAGTATGGGGGTCAGTGGCACAAA